GCCATACTACCTGCAACACACACATGCACCTAATCCCTGTGGGTGGGTGGTGCCATGGCCGATGTGTACAAAACTATCGGCACTCCACCCAGCATCGCCACGGACAATAGAGACAGAAAATCGAGCAAGCCTTCAGTTGTCGCGCACTCACCCTCTCGATTCGGTTGGCCCAGTCGGCCTTGGCGCGCATCTCGGCCCTCCGATTCACCTCCACCTGGACCGAGCCCGACATGCGACGGAGTCGTGGAAGGATCGCGACGTCTTCCAGCAGCGTCAGCGCTTCGGACACCGTGGCCAGCCGCAGAGTCACCTCGTCGATCATCCCGCCGTGTCCACCGCCGCCGCAGCCTGCTGCCTGGATGCCCCCAGCAGCAGCAGCACCAGGGCCGTTGCTGCTGCTGCTGCTGCCCCAGCCAGGCCCGATTGCGCCGCTCCGTGGCCGGCAGATCCCGCCCGCTGACGCCTGCGTGGAAAACCGGCGCGTCGGAGGCTTTTGCCGCACCGCTTGCAGGGGGCCCCGGTAGAGGTTCACGTCGGGGCGGCGGCTTTGGTAGGGCCTCGGTGCCTCTACAATACCCACCGCCTGCAGTGGACCGCCGCCCGCGCTCGCCGCCCGCATAGGACACGGTGCCCTCACTACTCCCACCGCTGGCAATAACGCCCCCGGTGCCGCCACGACGCCGACGGCAGGGGTCGCCGCCCATGCCGCCGCGGGGCTCGACCCCAGAGGCCATCGCGTCCTCGTCGCTGCCTCGTTGGCCCTCGACACCGGACGACAAGTGCCCCTCGCCAAGTCGTCACTGCTTGGCGGCGGCGTGACCCTTTTCGTCGGCGCCCCCTCCGCCGCAGGGGCGACCGACGCGACGGCAGGCGCCGCTCGCACGACCCGGCCTTGGCCGCTTGCGACAGGACAGAGGACAGCGGACTCCACGCTCTTCCGCCCGTTCGCGTGCGGAGGCTTGTGTACATCGGCCCCCACGTCCGCGGGCGGCGGTCCCACCAACATGGCGCAGGCAGGGGGGGTGTTGTGCCCTGCGGTGGCTGTGGCGGTGGCGGAAAAACCCTGTGAACTACTCTGCGAGAAGGCGGCCACCACCGTTGTAACCCTCCCCTCCCCGCTCGTGCTGCCTACGTCCCGCGGCACGCCCTCGGAGGCCGGTCTGGACGTCGCTTCGCCCGTCTCGTCGTTCCTTGCCGTCGCCGCTGCCGCCGGCGACCCGTTCCTTCTCGGCCCCGCCACTGCTGTCGCACCCGGCTTGTAGCCGGTACAGCCAGGACCCTCGCCTTCGGTGAGCGGCTCCGGAGAGACGGTCGCCGCCTCGGCGGGCGCAGACCTGGGAGGCGTAACGATGACACCGCTGCTGCCGCCGCCGTCGCCGCGCCGCGGGGGTCTAGTTACGTCTCCTGGGCGCAAACCCTTCGGCGCGAGGGGGGCCAAGGGAGGGCTTCCCACCACCGTAATCGCAGCAGATACAGCGGCATCGCCGTTGGGAGCGCGGTCGCCATCGGCCGCACCGTTCTCCGTCTTCTCCTCACCGCCGGAGGCGTTGCTGGCAGCCGCCCCCGCCGCCGCCCTGGGTTTCGCAGCGGCGATATGATCATCACGCGGGGAGTCTCCCGCAGCCCGAACGGTTGCGGTGTCGTCATCATGGTTCTTGAGTCCGGCTCCGGCGCTCTCTACTCTGCCCTTGCCCGCACCAATGGCCGACACGACGCCGGCCGCCTCACCGTCTTGTCCGGCACCTTGCCCGGCCCCCAACGGCACCCCCTTGCAGCAAAACCATGCCCTCCGCACCCTGCCGCCGCCGCTCCCCCCGGCCACCGGGGTCTCCCAGCCGCTCACGTTCTTGGCTTCGGTGCCTCCCGAGCCACCGGCACGGGCACGGCCCGACCTTGCCACCGCACCCTGCCACCATTCTCGGTCTCCTAACTGTCTGGAACTTCTCCCGCCGCCGGCGCCCGGGGTCGACGCCGCCCATGAGCCGCCGCCGCCGCCCGCGCTCCCGCCACCGGCGCTGCCTGTGCTGGGGCCGCTGCCGCCCCCGCCGCCCCGTTGCGGACCGTTGAGGCCCCCGCCGCTGTTGGTGGCCGCCCACAAGGGTAGGCTCTGACCGCCACTGGCCGCTGCCGGTCCTGCGCTGCCGTTGGGCGAAGGGTCTGTTGCCGCTGCCGCCGAGTGGTTGATGGGGGCGCCACCGTTTTCGACCGAGAGGGACGAGATGATGTCCTGGCGAAAGTAACGGAGGAAGGAACAGGGCGCAGATGTGTGCAAGGGGGGAGAGAATGGATTGTGGGCATACACGAAAAGGTATACATACTGTACTGCAAAAATCGAAAGAGGTTCTACCTCTTGTCGAAACGGTACGAAACACTTTTGTTCCTTCGGGGAGCGAAACCATCGTTGCAGGATTATGTAGAGTGCACTCCGAAGCGCCAAAAGACAGGACGGGCTAGGTATTTACGACGTGCTGTTTCTATTTTCTGAGCGTTAGCGTATGGCCTTCAAGCAATGTCGAGGGATCATGATCATGGGTTCTACTAGGTATGGTGGCAGAGGTACAGACAGCGCGCAACTTCGGCAGCCGAACTACTGTACCACCGGTGTGTCCAACGCCAGCAAGCCCGGCGGCGTTCGAGTTTGGCGGGATCATGTATGCCCTTTTTGGTGTTGTGGAAGAGGAAAGAGCGCAGTTTTGGTAGCCACCGGTGTCCAATTCCAGCACGGCCGTCATCATGCGCCGCGGCACCCATGCGGCGTTCGATCGTAATTAGCACGTTTGTCCCCCAAAATGCTGGCGGCGGCGCCCTCGTTAAGAAGTCACTCCCACCCACCCAAGACTCCCGTCATACACACTGCGGTACGTCGTCGAGCACATATATCTACATACCTGGACAACCAACGGGTCCTGGAAGTAGGCCGCACTTAGAGCCGCCCACACCCCCTCTAGCGTAGCTCCTCCCGCGGGAGACGCCGCTGATGATCCGTGATTCGGCGTCCCCGCCGCCCCGCCGCCGTGCCGCCCGCCCGAGCCTTCGCTCAGACACGCCAGCAGCCCGGAAGTGAACGCGTCCCTCTTGTCTTCTGCCACCCGCAGGGTGTGTCGACGGTCCATCTGCTGCTTCTCCTTAGGCGTCTGCTGCCGCTCACGATGCTTCTTCTTCTTCTTCTTCTTCTTCTTCTTCTTCTTCTTCTTCGTTGCCTTCACCCGGTCCCCTTCCTCCTCCGCCTCCTCCGCCTCTTCCTCCTCAGATGCCCCGCCATCGCCACGCTGAGGTCGACGCCGCCGCTGCTGCAGTGCCGCTCCGTCCTTTTGCGCTTCCTCCTTCCCCTCCTCATCCTCCTCGAGTTGGAGAGTGGACGTGAACTTGGCGACCGCCACCGCCGCCGCCTTTCTCCGCGGTAGCCGGCGGAGGGTCGGAGCAGTCATGATCGCCGGTGGTGGTGCTGCTACCGCCGAATCTGATTCCTCCTCCTCCTCCTCGTCCTCGTCCTCGTCCTCCTCCTTTGCCTGCGCAACCCTGCGGCGGTGTTTCTTCTTCGTGCCATGCTGCTGTTGCTGTTCCTGCTCCGCTGACGGCGCCCGACCGGGGCTAACGTTTGTCTTGGCTCTTGCTGTTGCTCTAGTCACACGGCCGCTGCTACTGATGCCGCTGGCGCGGCACGTCGAATCATCCATGGTGGCGGTTGAGGCGGAAGTCGGCGAGCAGGAGGAGGATGCCTTGACGGCATCAGTGACGCTGCTGCTGCTGGCGTTGCCGGCGATGCTCCCGCACGTACGGTTGCGTCTGGTTCGTAGAGTCGGTGCCTCCCCCCCGCCGGTGTCTTGCATCCGGCGTCGACTGCTGCTGCTGCCTCTCACGCCGCTGCTGCTGTCGGCAGCGGCGGCGGTCACAGCAGTGGCTGGCCTTCCTTCATGCCTCCTCCGCAACCCTGCGTCCCTCTTGCCCTTCACAGGCCGAGGCGTTGTTGCTACAGCCGCCTTGCGTCGCCCCTCTGTGGGATGGCGACGGGCCGATGATGCCGTTCCTGCGGGTGGCCCCATCACACACAAAAACAATCACGCAGGCGACTCACCTCTTTATATTACAGTACAACGAAGCGGGTAGTCTGTTTCGGGGTCTCTTTGCGGAGAAAACAGCAGCAGTGCCGCAGCTGACTGACCCGAAAAAAAGCCAAGCGGCCGGGCTCGCTCTTGCTCTCGCCTCTTTCGTTCCCGCTCGCGCGCTGCTCGGGGTACACACACACTACAGAAAGTAGGGGTGTGCGATAGCGGTGGTCGGCAGCAGCGAGCTCCTGCCCCTGCTCTCTCCCTCTCGCTCTCGCTCTCTTCGCCGCAGGTATCCCAAGAGGCCGTCTATGACAGCAGGCACGACAGAGGCCAGTGTTCACAGGTTTTCACGACCAAGCCGTATTCCGCTCTCGTCACATGCACCTTCTGGGCCCCCTCTCCGTCCGGGCCTGGTTTCCAGCAGCAGCAGGGTATATGTATCCAAGCCACTGACGTGCTGTCGCAAGAGAGTCGGGGTGCTTCGGCGCTGCGGTGTCTTGAGGAATTGAAGGACCGAACCGCGAGCGAACCAACCAAAAAACCGCCTTTTCCGTTGAGAGATGGGGAAAAGGAGTTGGCTGTCTCACGCTATGCACGTGGGGCGCCGCACGTGGGGAGAGCACCCAGGGCGAACACACAGGGTAGATGCGCGCCCCGTCCGAAGTCACCGGTGGCGGGCTAGCGGCTACCAGCCTCTTCGGTAGTTGTCGGTAGGGGTACCAACGCTACGCAATACTACCTCGTAGATTCCCTCTTTTCAAATTTTTTCTTAGATAGAGATGGATAGGTTGTGTTATATACTAATAACAACAAACACACCGGAGGGAGCGGTCGCAGCATAGTGCGGCGGGATTAAAAAAAAAAAACTTGACAAAAAATATGATGGGTCTCTCTCTTTGCCTGCTCGCTTGTTGTTGCTTCGTTCACAAAACATTTTCATTTAGGGAGGCGATGGTATCGGCCACGCCGACGACGGCACCCTCAGGTCGACCCAAGCGAGCAGCGGCAAGCAAGGCGGAGCACGTGTTCCGTTCCCTGGCGCTAACGGGCGCGGTACAGAGCGGCGGGTGCGTGGTGGACTCCGAGCAGCAGGAGCAGGAGCAGCAGCAGCAGCAGCAGGAGCAGCCGAGAGAGTTAAGTAAAGCGCCAGCAGGCGGCGGCGGAGAGGCATCAACACACCAGGGCGAAGGAGGAGAGGGCACGGAACTAGAGGCTTCGATAGCCAGGGAAGGAGGGATCAACGACTACGAGGTCAGGGGGGAAGGCGTCTCTGCAGCTGGCGGCGGCGAAGGCAGCGGGAACCACAGGCAGCAGCAGACGAAAAGGAGCGCGAGCAGCAGGGGGGCAAAGAAGCGGGGCAAGCTCAAGCAAGAGACCGCAGCGGTCCGGCCTCTCAAGTCGGAGCAGACCCGCGCGGGGGCCGCCGCCGCCGGCGGTGGCGGCAGAAGGGGGCAGCCGAGCATGAAGCCGAGGCCCGTGGCGACCGAGGCGAGCATCGCCAAGGTGCTGGATCGGCTGGCCGGGTGGGGCGTCAAGGTCCGCGTACCGGCGCATCCTACCCTCGAAGATGTTTGGAGAGGCACCGATACCGTACTCCGTAATCTGCCAGACACTTCCGTCCTCACGCTTGATGCCCTGGTGGGACACTCGAGATTGCGCCGGTACACGAGGAAGATGCCCCCGCCGCCTGCCGGCGCGGAGGGCGGTGGTGGCTCCAGCGCCGGCGCGGCCAGCGCCTCCGGCGGTTGTGGATCGAGCCATCGCCAGAAGGTGAGGCAAGGAGGAAGAGAGAGTTCTGCTGGTACGGAGAATCGGCCGAGATTTTTTTTGTATGAAGAATAGAGGGGCGAAAGAATACCGTCTGCTGCTATGTAAATTACTGCACTGAACAACGCTGGCACGGTCGGCAAAATGGCTGTGTATGTGCTTTTCTTCCAAAATACGGAGGGCTGGCACGCTACCGGGGCGCCGTGGATGAGCTCAATCTCTCTCGCTCTCCTTGTTCCTCATGTGTTGGTTGAGAGTGAGCTGTGGTGTAGAGTTCATACACACGTCAACACGACACAGGTTCACGACAGCACAGCAGCAGCGAGAGAGAGAGAGAGAGGCAGCGGTTTCGTCTCTCTTGTTTTTTTTTTTCTCTTTGGTTTCTCGACTTTTTTTTTCACTATTTTGTTTGGTCGAAATGACTTCAAATGTATGGATCTAATTTTCACGAACTGCGCTCCTCTCAATCCTTACGACAGCAGTAGAGGTGGTCAGAGCATGCTACTCCCCACTATGGCGTGTTAGAGACAAGACGTGGACATTGGGAGAGGAGAGGCCCTTTGGAACACTGAAAAGTGGTCGTCGCTTTGCATATTTACGTGTTGAAGCGAGCCCATATAATGCACGTTGTTCCGTCCATCATGTGCACGCAAAACAACCGTTGGCTGCTGCCTAAACTTGTGGCTCGATTTCGGAGACATCTCCGAATGAGCTTTAAGATGCACCCCAGAAGGACCAAGAGTGGAAGTTGAGAACGCGGATGACACGCATCCTTCACCGACACAGGGGCTATCGGTCGTATCGCATGCTGCGTGTGTGACACCAAGTGTGCAGGGCGGGTGATATCCTTTGTGTCGTCTTCGTTTTTTTTTAGTGAGGACTAACCTATGTAACAAGCGTGCGGCTAGCCGAGCTGCCGCAGACCAGATGAAGAATGCATTGAAGGATTTTTTTCCGAACGTTGTGTTCGCACACAACAAGTGCCGACCATGGCGTTCTTTGTTTCTCTTGGTTGATCAAGTATACTACATGCAGCTGTGAGCAGCTGCCGACGTCGCACCAACCCAAGCATGATTTCATGTTTTTCTTTGCGGCGCTCGGCCTCCTCGTTTTCCCTGGTGGCAGGCCGCCGGCGACCGGGGTGGCTCCTGCAGCACCAGCCCACAGCACCGGGCTACTTCGCCGACACCCAGCAGGCAGGGGTGCAAAGCCTTGCAGCAGCCGCCGAGAGGCGGTGGTGAAGGAGAGGACGTGGGCGGGAGCGAGGGCGGAGCAGAGGATGAGGCGGCAGCGGCGGCGGGGGAGGGGGGTGCGAAGACGGTGGAAGACGAGCTCGGGCAGTGCGACGAAGAGTTACAACAGGTTCTAGACAGGCTGTCTTGTTTTTTGTTTGTTTTTTTATCGGGATGTGCAACTGCTGCTGCTGCTGCTGCTGCTGTGACTCGGGGTTTGCATACCACATGGCATGATCACGACTCGCATGCGCGTACAGTTAGTGGGTGTGGTCGTTGAATTGATTCACAATTTCCTTCATGTTTTGGTTCGGGGAGTTCGCGCGGTTGACTTCGCGGCTGCTGCCAGGTGAAAGCCGACCTCTACGACAGCACCATGTTACCTACCTATCACCTGCCCAATCCCTGCAAGCGTCGATTTCCAAGCACAAAGCTATTAGCTGCAACCCGCGGTTGCCTGTTTGTTCACCCGTGTCATGCCGTGGCCCGCATCCTGGTTCGCTCCCCCCGTGGTCTGCGTGTACACTCGCGTGACAGGTGGAGTTGGCAGTGGCATCGACTTTGCAGAGGATCGCCACAACGGTCGAGGAGTTCCGTTACGACGAGGACTCCCGCGAGGAGGCGAGACGGATAGCGTTTCGGGAGAAGACGCTCCGAGCGTACGAACCGGTAAGCTTTGCGCCGCTGCGCTGCGGTTTTTTTACGATTTCGAAACGACACAGCGGGGAGGAGCAGCAGTTACGGGTGGAAGGGGGTGAGGGGATTAGGACGACGCTAGACTGTGGGATAACGCAGAGAACAACGATAGCAGAGAAATCTTCGTGTCTAGATATATACCGTAGCCATCTTCCGAGCCCACCCACTGCCGACAATCCCAAATTGTGGAGAAGGCCTTCATTGTCTACCCGCAGCCGGGCCTGTTAGAACAGAGTTTCCCGCGAAGGGGCTCCGTCTGAAGGGAGCGGGGGGCGGGGGCGGAGGCGAGCGCTCTAACAATTATTAAGTCGCCAGATCTGACCATCTTTCTCTGGTGGGTGCGTGTCTCCCTTAAATTCATACCAGCACTACTCTCGTGGGTGCGTCTCTCCCGCAAATTCACACCAACACTACCCTCTAGTGGGTGCGTGCCTCCCTCAAATTGATACCAACACTCCTTGTCGATGGTCTCTCACAGTTGCAAGAGAGAGAGAGGCAGGCGAAGGCCGAGGTCGCCGCGAGGATGAGCAAGCAGAACCAGGTGGAACTGAAGCGGAAGAAGGAGGAGGACATCGCGGTGTGCTACGTCTGCAACAGCGGGGACCACGTCGAGAACAAGGAGGACATCGTGTTCTGCGAACGGTGCTGCGTCGCCGTGCACATGTCCTGCTACAACGCCGAGGAGGTGAGTGAGCACGTAGCAAGAACCGCCTTGGCGCTACTTCGTACTGAAATAGAGAGTGGGGTTTCGTTTCCCTATCCATTAACCCCTAACAAAACCTCTGCCCGCGGAGGCTACTGGCACGCAGGAGGAGGGGGGGGGGGGGGGGGG